AAAAAAAAAAAAAAAAAAAAAAAAAAAAAAAAAAAAAAAAAAAAAAAAAAAAAAAAAACAAAAAAAAAAAAAAAAAAAAAAAAAAAACAAGGGGTTGTATCCTAAAAGTAAGATGACATCTCAAAAGTAGGTTTACATCTCTTACATCTAGAACACGGTTAGAATTAGCTTCTGTCGGTTGGTTGCAATCGTTTATATTTGTTAAATGTCGATTGCCGAACGGTAACGAGTGTCGCTGGTGTTGAAATTCTCGATCGGTCGAGTGGACGAACCTTCCATTTTATGTCTAGGTGAGAGAACTCGTTAAGATGAGGGTGTTGGCAACATGGAGTCGATTCCTGGCATTTCCCAGGAGATGCCGGTACCTCCATGCGACCTCCGCCCTGAGACTGCCTCGAGGTGCGCCTCGACCCGCGGCGACCCCCGTGGGCCCCGCGACCCCCGTGGGTCCCGTGCACCACGAGGGCGGGGATGCCGGACCGCACGAATTCGTCCGCGTGACCCCGTTCGGCGTCGTCCGCTTGGATCGCGACAACCCCGAAGACCTGAACGAGATCGACCGGCAGTACTTCGGAGAGTACTTCCACCGGATGGAAAAGCCGGATGGTGTCTCCGGGGACGGAGTGCATCTGCAGGGCCCGGACGAATCCGTCTCGGATGACAAATTCCCGTCGTTGTTCGCGGGCGCGTCCGGAGACGACGGAGTACGACGTCGGGCGCCGGTCTTCGACCCGCCGATCCGTCCGGCTTCGAGAGTCCCCGAAGAGGAAACGAAGCCGGAAACCAGAAGGGATCCGGATCGCGAACGAAGCCAGACCTCGTCTTCGATGTTCCCGGATCCCCGGCAGCTCATCAAGAATGCACAGGTACGAGACCTTTCCCCTTCCCGCGAAAATTAATGGAAGGAGTCGTGGGGATGTTGAAACATGACTGGATCGGCGGTTCCTGTTTCCGAACGGTGGCGTGGCGAAATTTTCGCCAAGTGGAGATTCGAGGGGGGGGGGGGGGGAGAGAAGCGGCAATGAAGAGAATGAAGGGGTAATGCTTTCACCCCGTTCCTCCTCTCGGGGGATCGCCGACGAGCGAGTCGAGGAAATTTTTTTCCGGAACTGCCGAAAAGGTCGTGAGGGCAAACCCAGCCTTTCGCCTCTCCGTGTTTCCGCCTCCGCCTATGCTCCCCACTGACAGAAATGGGTCAATCTTACTCCCGCCCCCTTCGCCACGTCACCGTTCTCGAATGACTCCTGTCGGTGATTTCTGCGAACGTCGCGACACCACCGCGCCGTTATCGCTATGGATCGTTTCCGCTCGTCCCGGTTTCCACGAGACCATCTTTGGAACTCTCGTGGACGAAATTCACGCTGCACCCGACCCCCGTCCACTGCAATCGCAGGAGGGAGGGAGGAAGGGGGGGAGGGAGGAGGAGGGAGGAGTCCTTTTGGTGCATGAGATGAGTAGGTTTTCGCCGACACCCTCTCAAAATTACATGAAATTCTCTTGTTGATTAGCAGTCTTGAGAAACCTCCCCGTTTCCCTTGCCCCTTCCCCTCCCCCTCCTCCTCCCTCTCCCCCTCCCGTTGCCCCTTCCCCTCCCCCCCCCTTCCTTCCTTTCCCCCAAGAATAGGTTTCCACGGCATGGGGGGCCGAGATACGCCCCCTCAGAGTTGGGAGTTACCGCGTTAAATGACCTT